CATTAAATCAAAATCACTTAATTCAATTCATTTTTGTTTATTCTGATCGAAATTAAAATTAAAAAAAAAAACTTACCTTTCCGAACTTTTATGGAAATAGAATCCTGTAATCATCCCTGTACTTAATTGGTAGCAAATATAGTAGAATCCAGCAAAACTGGCACCATTAATGGTTCTAACCCGATGATCAGGTACAAGAAAATGTTCTTTCCATCTCATAAAAATGAAATCTTTATTATGAAAGTCATAAACAAAACCATCCTTTTTCATATGTTTTTGAAGGGGACGAAAAGCCTGGAAACGAATCTGTAAGAATCCCATTCAAATCAAGTATAATAAAAATTAGTAAGTTGATCTTTATATAATCACAAAAGGAAACGTATAAATTTTCAATAATCATACCCAGTGTTGCACGTCTACTTTGTCATCGGCATCCCATTTCTTGGTTAGAAATGAATATTTTCTCCCAATAATTTCTGCCTCAAAAAATGTGGTCAACTCGGGATAATCTTCAGTGAGCCCTTTAATATGAAGATATCCACATAAAAATGACTCTGAAAGATCTACATGCTACAAATTTTTTTTTTAAAAAAAAAAGTTTTTTCATGAGTAAAAAGGCAATAGATCCATTGTGATCAGAACCCGATCGCCGAGATGGAAAAAAAAAAATCCCTCAATAATAATAATTAAGAAACTCAATGTCGCCATATTTTGATTTTCCTGAACGATTGATTTGTCTTTATGCATAATCCATTTAAGCCTGATCTAAATCATCCATTTATTTTACATTGACAACCCTTGTAGAATTTAAAATGCCTTCTTGTCTCACCTGAATATGAACAGCAACATCGTAACTACTTCTACCACTTCTTTGTTCACCTCTGAATTTCGAACCAGAGTAAAGTGAACAAGTTGTGGTAGGCATTAATCTAACTGACGAAATCTCAGTTGTAAGAGAAAGACGACGTTTCCTTTTTTGCAGCAGCTGTTTTTGTCTTAATTGTTCTTGATGCTTTTTTTGCTGTTCAGCATAGTGTTTGTGAGAAGGGTCCTGACAAACTCCATCGACGCACATACATTTGTCCGGCAAACTACTAATGTTACCGTTGATGGGGGTTGTTGCGGGAATAACGGGGTTTGAGAATACAGGCATTGTGTTGTTTGGAGTCGAAAGGGTTAAAACGTGTAAACCTATAAAGTAAAGACTAAAAGGAATAAGGGGTGAAAAGTAAATGTGGTGGATGTATTGGGTTTTGATGTAGATATAAGTGGCCGGCTCAAAGTGGCGAAGTCTTTTTTTTTTTTTTTATGCCGAAAATTTTTTTTTGGAGTACAGAAGTTAATTTAATATCTACTATATATATTACTTTATAAAGTATAGCTAGTGTGTGGGGTAAGTGTTGTAACGAATAAAAAAGGTCAGCGAAAATATGGGAAAAAGATATATATACTAAAAAAAAAAAAAAAAAAAAACTTACTAGTTTATTATATATATAATTTTTTTTTTTTTTTAAAAAAAAAAAAAAAAAAAAAAAGTGATTAATATTATAGAGATCACTAAAATGTTATGGAACGGAACGGTTTTATATAACGGTCGTAATGTTTATTTATTATGTTTGCGTTTGTAAGATTTGATTTTTTTTTTTTTTTGGAAAAAAAAAAAAACAAACGGCAAAAAACAAATATCTATGATAAACAAAGCAAAAGTTTTATTTTATGTATATAATTAAAGATTTTTGTCTATGATTAATAAAAACTGAGAAAGGGGATATGTGAGAGGGAGAAAGGATAGAAAATGGGGTTATTATTAAAAAAGGAAGAAATAATAATTAAGGCAAGAAATACGAAAAAAAAAAAAAAGAAAAAAAAAAAATTTTTTTTCGGGCGATGGTATTCGGTACTAATATTAGAGAACAATGATTTGCATTTATTTAAACTGATGATGATAATCATGTGATTATCCTTATTTCCTCAAATAGTTGAGGCGGGTGCGGCTCGAGTCGAGGGGAGCTTAATGAAAAAATATTGATAATCACATAATTGTAAAGTATTATGTTGAAATTTCAAAAAATATAATGACAATTATTGTACATTGTTGTCATTCAACCTTGTTAAAGTGTTGTTAATAATCTTGAATAATTGAAAAGATGAACTTTAAAGTTCGGTACAACGTCGCAATAATTAGCCAAACATCGATCTTTGATCACCAATAATACGTATAAAACAACGAAACTTACATGATGCTGCGCTTAATTATTAGCTCCCTAGCGTGCTTCCATGGATTCGGATAAGCTTATCTAATTTGCAGGCGTAGTTTGGCAATAATATGGCGTAGCATTCCCTACAGTTCCAAAAGGTGGAATTCATATGAAAAAAAAAAAAAACGATATTTAATTATTTACGCCAAATTCCAACATCATGAGTATATACATAACAATAAAGTGATATAACTTTGTTCTAACCAAAACAAGAATTATTATGATTGAAAAACTGTGCGGTTAAATATCAGAAGATGGTTTCATTAATTTATTTTAGTCTCCCATTTCAAGGGTGGATATTCAGGAAAGCACGCTCCAGCTTCATCTAACTGCAATTCTTCTTTCTCATATTTTCCCGACATTGAATTACTCGTTCATTTTGTTCTATCAAATTTGGTGCCAATTCCTATGCTTCTATAACGAATCGTGTTCTGTTCTGACATTCATTATCAAACCAATCGTGTAAACGCAATCGGAAGGTTGGGAAAGAAAATAGACGGGATAATGTCATTATATAGTATTGAGAAGGCTTTGCACCTTTTAGCCAAACGTGAAAAGGGAGAGGGTTGCCTAAAAATTATTCTGTAATTGTAGTTCATAAAAAGTTCTAACCCACGACTCCTTTAACAGCTGTTTTACAAGATTAATAGTGAGGTCTTACTTTGCTAATACATTCGATTAATTAATATTCGTGATGATGGTCAATATATCTATCCAAAAGAGTTCATTATAACTATCAATAATTGATGTTATGGTATGGTACTTAAAATAAACTACTGGACGTCAGCGGTTATAATAAGACAAATGCAACCAAGGTTTATTCAAGAAGTAAACTTGGAATGTAACAATGATTTTTCTTTTCTAATTCAAACGTTCAAAACTTAAGTGGACTGAACGCGTATTTTTTAATTTACAAGTTTGCCATTTTGAACTGTGATTGGTTATAATTTCACGTGAAATATTAAATAAATTTGTATTACTAAAGATATCAGACCATGTTCTATTACGAATTGCACACATACGAATATTAAGTTTCGTATTATTACAAATGCAAATATTATCTGTTATAAATATCTTCTTATCTTAAAGTAAGAAAATAACTTTGTCACCCACATTATTGTAGTATTAACGAAGATAAAAATTTAATCAAAAAAAAGAAAAGTATTAGATTTGATAGAATCTAATAATAATATGGGTTAGAACAATAGTATTATTAGTTAGTAAACATAAAATTAAATTAAAATCAATGCTAATACCAATATTAACATCAATATCATCACTAATTTCACATTTTCTTCAAAGATATACATTAGCAAAAGTATTATATTACCAGTAATGTCAAAAGCATACAAGTTTAGAATTTGATAAAATGTCAATTCTCAACTTAAAGGCTATTTTAATGTTATGATAAATTTAATCATTTTTTAAATAATGATATAAATGAAGTTAAAAGTCAATTGTATTATATAATAGTAATATTATAAAAAATAAAAATTTGTTATATTTAATAGTACCAGATATAATATGAGATGCTATTGATATAATATTAAGCCTTAAGTATTTAATTTTTGAAAAAATTTCAAAATGAATATGTAAAAAAGTAATAAAGTTAAAAACATTTTATAAAAATATAATATATATATTAAATTAAATATATCTTAATTAAAATATTTCTATATATATAGCAAAATCTATTATAGAATTTCCTTTTATTTTAAATGATATATCAATTTATATCAATTAAATATTAAAATATAGAATCTATTAAAATTTAATTAATTAATATATTAGAATATTTAATATTTTATATTTAGATCATTACTATTTAAATTTTAAAAAATAATTAAATACTAATAATTTGATAATATAAAAATATATATTTATAATGATAATATTATTAAATGAAAAAAAAATAATGATCTATATAAAGTTTAATTTAAAAATAATATTTATATTTGATTAAGATTACAGTTGAAACTGTCTATAACAAATTTTTTTATTCTGAATTTTTGGCTATTATGAATTATATGAGCGGTCCCAAATTTTATTAAGTAAAATATTTATATATAATGAATTTTTATAATAAATCTTGCTATTATATATAACGAATTAAAGATTTGTACATAATATAGTAAAATAAAGCTTTCGTTAATGAATTTATTTATTTAATAAATTTAAGGAATATACCAAATTTTTTTTAAATTACTACTAAAGGAAATTTTGCATTTATAAAACTTTATTAAATGATTTAAATATCTAAATCAATTTTATAATTTTTCCTTGATTAGCTTTTATCTAAAATGCCTAATGAAAAAAAAATTTTCTTCTAAAAATATTCCTAAAGGTAAACGAACTAAAACTTTTCTTATAGATACTTAAAAACAGGAAGTTTATTTAAAGAAGTTATAAAAATTAACACTTAAAAATAAAGAACTTACTAAAGAATTTGGTGTTTTAGAAGAAATAATATGTGATAATTTAAAAGAAAAAGAAAAATGCTTTAAAATTGAAGTTTTATGAAGTCTTATTTAAAAGAAAAATTAAATTACATTTTCCATAAATTGAAGAAGCTTTAGGCCTTTAAGTTAAAAAGGCAATAGATAATAATATTACTATTAGTAGTGAATTATTAGTATAAAAAGCATATTATTTTGCAATATTACTTGATGTATAAAACTTCAAAGGATCAGATAAATGGTTAGCAGATTTTAAAAAACATCATAACCTTAAATGCTATTTAAGATATAAAGAAGTAGCAAGCACTTTTTTAGAAAATCTAAATAATATGCATAAAAATCTTCAAAATGTTCTTAAAGAATATTCACCTAATGATATATTTAATATAAATAAAACTAGACTTTATTGAAAAATAAAATTAAATCGTACTTTATCAAATAGATCAGGTAAAAAATAATATTAATCAGTATAAATTAATATAATAATTATATAAAAAGTTAAATAATAATACTTACATTAGTTACAGGTCAAAAATAATCTAAAGAATAGGTTATTGTTACATTATATTGTAATACTTCAGAAACTGAAAAAGTTAAACCAGTTTTATTAGAAAAAATCAAAATCTATGTGTTTTAAAACATATTCTAAAGTCATTACTACCAATACAATATTATTGGAATAAAACAGTTTATATGCAAATTAGTATCTGAAATGATTGGCTCAAATTCTTTGATGTATATTTAAGACTTCAAAATCATCACATAATCTTACTTTATGATAATACATCTACTTATATCTTATATGAAAATACTATACTCTCTAATATTATCTTTACAAATTACCTTCTAATACAACTGCATACCTTTAACTATATAATACTGAAATAATTAGAAGTTTTAAAGTAAGTAATTTTAATAAAATTATGTTATAAAAAAAAATCAACTTACCTATATTTAATTTATTAATAAGCATAATATAAGAAGTTATTTTTACAAAATTGTATTAAAGAATTTGATTATAATCAAGAAACTGATTAACCCATATCTAATATTATAATTAAGAAAGCAATTAAATATGTAGCAAAAACATGGGATTTAGTTCAACTAGAAATGATTGTAAATTGTTAAAAAAAAAACAGATATTCTTTTACCAAATACAGATGATAAAAACCTTGATATTAATTTTATAGATTTTACTGAACATGATAAAATTAATAAAATACAAAATTTTATTAATCAATTAACTCCTAATATATATAAAAATCTGATCCTTACTAAAGAATATTTATAATGTGAAAAAGAAGAAACAATTCATTAGATATTAACTGATAATAAAATTATAGAATTAATAAAAAAGTCAGAAAAAGAACCAAATACTAAAGAACTAGAAATTTTAATTATTAGTAATCATGAAATATTAGCAGCTCTAAATCAAATAA